CGAAGTTCCTGGGAAGACGAACATCCTAGAGTGCCGGCTAGAGCTTACTACAACAAAACCAATCAGCACCTCACAGTATCCGTTGCCGTTTGCAATGAAGGAAATAGTAGAGAAGGAGGTTCAAGATATGCTGAAGTTGGGAGTTATTGAACGATCCCATTCGCCGTATAACTCACCCTTGGTCCTGGTTAAGAAACCGGACAACAGCTTTCGCGTGTGCATTGACTTCCGTCACATTAATGAGGTTCTGGTGTCCGATTCTGAACCCATACCCATGCTGAAGTCGGCACGAAGTCGGTTTTCTCAAAGTTAGATCTTACAAAGGGCTATTGGCAGGTACCCTTAGAGGAAAGTTCTCGTCCGAAAACAGCTTTTTCAACGCAATCTGGACACTACCATTTTCTCTATATGCCTTTTGGGATTAAGACAGCCTCGGCCATATTCACACGATTGATGAGGACATTACTGCACGGCATTCCAAACACAGTGCATTACATAGACGATGTTCTAATTGCCACAGCTACGTGGGAAGAGCATCTAGTGACATTGAAACAGTTGTTTCAGAGGATCCGAGAAGCAGGCCTACGGATCAAACCTCAAAAATGTGAGATCGGAATGACTTCTGTCATCTTCCTTGGGCATCACCTCGGCGATGGTACAATCCGCCCAGTAGAAAGCACGATAGCGAAGATCGCTAAAGCCCCAAGACCGGAAACGAAGAAGCAGCTTCGCTCTTTTCTCGGCTTGGCGGGATATTACCGAGACCTCATACCTCACTATGCCCAGAAAGCGAAACCACTGACTGAAATGACAAGAAAGATGGAAAAGAACAAGTTAGCGTGGAATACCGAAAGAGAAGAGGCATTTGAAACCCTCAAACAAGCTCTAGCATCTATGCCAGTAGTCAAGGCTGCTGACATAAAGAAACCCTTCGTATTACGTACAGATGCATCTGATAGGTGTATAGGCGCGGTGCTTATGCAGGAACACGAGGGTCTTCTTCACCCGGTGTCATATGCCAGCCGCCAACTTATGCCCCGGGAAGAGAGATACTCTGCAATTGAAAGAGAGTGTTTAGCGTTAGTTTGGGCGATCGCGAAATTTCATATCTTCCTTTATGGAACCTCCTTCGTCGTTCAGACTGACCATCAACCGCTACGATACCTCTCTCAAGCCAAGCATTTGAACAGCCGGATCTTGCGCTGGAGTCTCGCATTGCAAGAGTACACCTTTCGCGTTGAGCATATCAAAGGATCAGAGAACGTAGGTGCTGATTATATGAGCAGGCTACAGGTGTAGGTGCTAGCTATACAACATTAATGTAATAATGTACCATATGCCTAGGGACTCTCACATACAGACTATTCTCTTGGTGCAACAGTTCTGTACATTTGTTTGTCGTAAGTCTTGTCTCCCGCGCACTTTGGACAGTTTCTTTTTTTAAAAAAACTTTTGAAAGGGGGGACTTTTGTCATGATATGCGCGGTAGGTTCATCTGGTGCGCGATGTTTGTGAGTTTGTGCTGTGCCGTGCGCCGACGAAGATGACGATGAGACAAGGAAAAGGCGGAATCGTGTCGTCAAAGTCAAGCCAAGCCATGGAGAGAGAAGAGGAAGACGAGGACGGGGCGTTCGAGAGGAAGGATCCGAACGAAACAGTGGCAGGCTGAAGTGCTCGTCGGGTCGTGGTCCCGAAGCCTACCTGTGCCTGTGGTCCGCACGAGCCTGGCTCCCTTCTACCGTGTGATCCAGCAGCCGGCGCCGGTCCGTTGTACTCGGATCCGGGCGTTTTCCAGACCTGGGCCTACTACTGGCTGTCCGGGACGTGCTTGCCACACATCGACTCTGCCTCACGCTCCGCTCCGACCATGCCTGAGGCATCGCTGAGGTCGGCGTAAGACGCAACGCAACGCATCGACTCATCTGCCTTCGACGTCACACGGTGAAGTGTTTCAAACCTTGTGTAGTGCAGTGGGGGACTACGCTAAGCGTCAGACCTTGTCTTTCGAGAACGTGTGTCGTGCTCGTACCTAAGGCAGTTCTTCGCTGTTGCCATGTAACACGCCAAGCTTCATTATCGTTTTTTTTTCGTTTTTTTTGTGGCATTAAAGCCTTATAACTCAAGTTGCAAATGTCTTCGTCAGTCTCGACAACGGTTATCTAAGTTGCCGTGATTACACGAACCTTATCCATCACAGTGGGGAATGTGCAACTGTACTTGCGGTAGGCATTTTATGGCACACAAGAGTGGAAGCTTGGGCTAGTTGGTGCGTATTCATATTTGCAAGGTGTTTCAGCGCGCGAACAAAGGAAAAAAGGACAGGGTAGACAGAAAGAGCGCTGACTTCCAACTAACTTTATTTCGCAGAGTGGCAAGAATTTATACGTCTAAACGTATAAATTCTTGCCACTCTTGTGGCAAGAATTTATACGTTTATAGTATCTTTCCATAGTATCTTTTTATAGTATCTTTTTATAGTGACAAGAATTTATACTAGACGTATAAATTCTTGCCACTCTGCGAAATAAAGTTAGTTGGAAGTCAGCGCTCTTTCTGTCTACCCTGTCCTTTTTTTCCTTTGTTCGCGCGCTGGAACACCTTGCAAATATGCATTTTATGGCAGTTTGGAACGGCCTATCACACGAGTCGAGACGTTCATTTTCTAGCCGCACGGCTGAGGCCTCCAACCAGACCCGAAGCCGGGCTAGCAATTGAGAAGGTTATGCACACGCAGCCCGATAACGCCATCACGTTCTACTCTTGAAGGCGAAGCTCAAGCATGAAGTTTTTCTTTAATGAATGCAAGCATGCGATGATATCGTGTCCTTTGAAATGCAACCTGCGCACATGAACAATCGTTTGGTACGATTCTTGTAGTTCTTGCGAGGAACGTTCTGAACACTTGCTGAGTCCCTGTAATCGCCTTCGTAATTCGATCTGTCTACACGTGTATAATGTGCATCTGGTGTTATTTTATATGCACTCATTTGCAAGCATACTTCTGAGCAAACATTTAGTGTGGCACTTTGCTTGTAAGACATCCCCGTTTTCCAGCTTCTGTTCGCTTTCAATTTTATGACTATTGTGTAATGGGAATGATCACAGTTTATATGCCCTGTGCTTTCGATGTAATGTGCATGTTATTTTGTCCTATAATCTCTATTGTGCGTTAAACTACAATTCATGTAACGCGTTCGTTTTTGCTTTCTGCCTGCTAGACTCTGCCACTCAAGCCTCCATTTGGCTTTGACAGGCCTATAGCCATATTTACTGCTTTTTTGACGAAATAGAAGTATTAATAATGATATTATTATTATTATTATTATTATTATTATTATTATTATTATTATTATTATTATTATTATTATTATTTTAAAGTGACGTTAAATTGATACAATAAAATGGTCTAGAGTGATCAATTATACTACGAAAACTCTAGTTTCTCCAAATTTATCAGTCACAACAAATTTACTAATAAATAAATGATAAATTCAGTGTGAAATGTTTCCCTTTTTGAATATCAACCGGTATCCGGTATTGCGACGTCAGTGACTTCTAAGTGTGCGTGTGTGTGCACGCACTTTTGCGTGCTCGTGTGTGTTTTGTTCCGTTCTAACCGCTTTTCTGAAGAGAGGTAGAAGGTCCATATTGCTTCGGCTACTCCATATCAATGTTTGTGTGCGGGCAGAAAAAAAAAAGCGGGCGGGTGGGCGACATTGCCTCAACAAAATTTTCTGAGACTTGGTAGTCAAGTTTTGGCTCCATGTGAGCAGAACACAATGTGCATGGAGGGTAAAAAGTTTCCAGGCCACGATCCCGTAGGAATACATGGGATAGTGGACTAGGAACTTTTGATTCCCCCCCCCCTCTCCATGTACTTCATAGTTTAATAACTAGGAACTACGTAGGCCCCTGTAGACAACGTTAAACCTATGACGAGCAGTGCATGGCTACTAGTGCGAGAATTTCAAGCTGGCGTTGCCTTTTTCTCTTTCTTCTTTCTCTCTCTCTCTCTCTCTCTCTCTTGTTTGGCGCGCGTCTTCTGGCTCAACAAGCCTTTTCTCGCAACAGTAAGTGTCGTGTTTTTATAGTATCATAAAGAGTAGTTTACCAATACGAGAACAAACGTTTTTTTTTTTCTTCTTCGTTGTCCTGCTACAGAAGGCAATCGCTAACAATTCACACGGTCCCTTTGCATCCGCCTAAGACCATCTGAATGTGAAAGCCATGTTATTTTTCTACCGAGTGGATGCAGTGATCTCCCCCTTTTTCTCCCCCAACCACCGCCGATGAAATATTTCTGCACCTTACTGGCTTTTGCACTGCCTTGGGTATCGGCCGAATTTCGCGCGAACTTCATTTGAGGAAGTCATGACATTTGGCAATCTGTGATGTCATATGACTACGTTATCACTCCTGCTGTTGACGCCGCCGCCGCCGAACGTCAATATTCGCGTTTGTCGAGGCATATGGGGCTTTTTTGCCTTAATGATTAATTTGAAACGACGCACTGATAACAATACCACAGCGCTGTCAAGCATTAAAGTGACGAGACACGCAGAAAAGAAGCAAGAGAAAATCAAATTTGTATAATTAATAACACGCCGTATAGTGCGACGTTTGACGGACCACGCTGGCAGCGTATTATTGCCTTTTTTTGATGAGATTGTAAAAAGTGCATGAGAGGTATACTACATTGCTTTCACTTTTTTTTTTTTTTTTTTTGCATAGGCAAAGAGCAAGCTGCAGCGACTACGCCTATCGGCAGATGTCACACGGCGACTCAGCTGCGCTAGGCTCGCGCGGAATGGCCTCAGCGACCGACCTATCTGCTTCCCTCCTCCCTGGCAGCGCCAATCTGTTCTTTCCTCTCAAGCTGCAGAGAGATTCGAGCGCCCTTCGCTTCCGCTACATTTCTAGCCTCCTTTCCGGCTTCACCCACTACAGCATGGGAACACGTGCGCTCTTCTCCTCTCCACATCCGAAGATCGCAGCGTCAGAGCCCGCAGAATGAGCGCCAGCGGTCGCGGAAGAATCACTCTCTGCAGGCTCGTGGTTTAACCAACCGGCAAGGCTGCGTACAACGTTATCTCCGGATTATCTGGCGGCGGTGTCGTCTGCTGCGTCAAGCCATAGCACACCATTGTTTGCGGACAATACTGGGTTCACGGTCCCCGCTTTGGTGTCGTCTGCTACCAACGTACTTCATCTGCAAGCAGTAAACGTGGTGTCGTGTGCCGCGCGAGACCGGCTGCTTCAGTGGTGTAGTCTGCTTCTTCAACCAGGTGTCACCGCGGTGGTGTCGTCTGCTCCACCACCAGAACATCCTTGCTTTGTTGAGAGCAATAGCCTACAGTCGAGGACAGCACAGGAACGTTAGTATTTGCATCGCCTGTAGCTTCAGCCGGGTGTCATCGCGGTGGTGTGGCCCGCTGCGTCAACCAAGTGCCAGAGGACGAGGCTCTCCCTGCGTTGTGTCAACAGACTCCACACCTCGCCGCGTCGTCTGCTAAGTAACGAGCCGTTGAGAATCGGAACACTTGTTTTAACTACCGCCGATCGCTGTTCTCCACTATGTAAGAACTTCATCGCAGCTGCACAGTGCGCCTTGCGGCTCGCATCAAAATTTACGACGAGCTTTCCTCTGCCGCCGTTGTCGGCAGAACAAAAAGGAAAGGCACTTCGCGGGCAACAGCAGGCGAACACACAACGCGTTATTTCCGCCACATTTGATGTATTGAGCGCACGCGCGGCCAGGTCGTTCTGTAGCACACGTTTTGTATTTGGCCCAACCCGAAGCTCGTGAATTGACATTTAATCTCCGTTCTTCAAGGTCACATCAGACGGTTAGAAAAAAAAACCGAAAAGATGGTCTCGATGGTCGCCGCTCTAACGCTAGCACACGAAGTGAACTAAGAAAATATTCGAAAACAAACCAAGGCGCCAACTCGTCAAGCAAAATGCAGCGGTGACGGAAGTGGATGTTGCATGGACTGAAGTGAATCCTGGAAGGCCCGCGGCATCGAAGGAATGAAATAGCGGCATCATTTCCGGCTGTTAATCAAATACGGAAGCACGGTGTCTACCTTTCCTTTACCTGCTTCGTTTTGTTTATTTGTTTACGGTGCTTCGTCCGAAGAACCGACCAATCGTTTTGAGGGGAACACCGACGGCTATATTCAAGTGCGACGAAGCCAGCAGGACTTTGTATGAAGGTAAGGCGAAGATTCCGATGTTCAAAATCATTCTCCCCTGTCTACCGAGATGCGCGATTGCATTTCGATACAAAGCCATCTTTACTCGGCTATACTGTCCGGAGTTTTGCGCGCCAGAAGCACGATGTGATTATCAGGCAGCGTCATAGTAGAGGGCTCCGGAAATTTAGTTCATCCGGTGTTGTTCAAGTGCACCGACAACGCACAGTGCATAGAGTATCTAGCATTTCAGCTCTCGCGAAATGAACCATTGTAGCCGGGTACAAACGCGTGGCTCGAGGTACACTACGGTTCCACTGTCGAGGTACACTACGGTTCCACTGTCAGAAAGAACACGCGAATGCGTGGCCGATGGCCCGCGGAGCGCGCACTGCTGGCGAGATATCGAAATGCGTCCCATGTGCACTGATTCATCCCGGTTGTATGTGGCCCGCATCGTCTGCTATTCGTCTGCCCGTGGACTAGAGATATGACTCTTTTCGCTTTTTGCACTGGAAATCAACCGATGCCAAGTAGGCCTATCGCGTCTTCAGTAAGTCGATATTTTTATGGTCGCACAAGCCACCTTAAAATGTTCCCTGCATCAGACTATGATAGCTTTAACTTTCTAACAAAAGCAGCCAGTTGCAACGAGACTCGAGCAGTATGTGAAAAATATGACAGGCCTAACGGTAATAGCTTGCGAAACTAATTGCAGCAATAAATAAAAACATACTTCTTTGTGTGCTTGCTCGAAATTCTACGAGCAGCAGGCTGAGTGAAAGCTATAGATAAATTGCACCGCAAAAAGAATAAAATAAAACACAGCATATCCACGGGGTGAATGACGACGAGTGGATGAAGCTCCGGAGGGAATCATCGGTAAATCGTGAACCTTACGTACTTAGTTCGCTTAGTCGATCGTCGGGTAACGACGTGAGAAACACTGTGTGTATATGTATACAAATTAACTTTTAATTGTTCTTTAAGACAATGAATGGCTTGCGATGTCCTTTCATTAGGACGGCTTTATGGTCCCTGAAATGTAGGGTAAGCGGTTCCTGTATAGGTTGCAGCGGAAAATTTGTAAATACTATAGGTCAATGCACGTGCCCGGGATCGTGGTTGGTTTCATATGGTCATACGATATAGATCTGAGCGCATGTCTAGGCCACATGTTGGATAAGCCAGTTATTGGTCGTGTCAGCATCATGAACTACAAGTCGTCCGTCAGCCCGTCCGTGCTTCCGTCCATCCGTTCTTCCTTCCGTCCGTCCGCGCGACTATCGGTGCGTTCATCCATGCGTCCGTCCGTCTAACCGTCCGTGCGTGCGTCCGTGAGTCCGTTCATTCATCTGTCCGTGCATCCATCTGTCCGTACGTCCGCGCGTCTGTCCAGCCGTCCGTCCGTCTATCTGCTAGTCTGGCTGTCCATCCGTTCGTGCGTCCATCTAGTGAGCACTCCAAGTACCGCCATCTCGCATCCCATGTGGCACATACCCGCTCTACAGAGCGGGTATGTGCCACCGGTGGCTATGTACAACTACATGCATACAAGGGACGGACAGGCCCAAGCCTTAAGAAGCTATGCCCGTAAAATACGAAAGCACTTTCCAACGCTTTCATTTTCGTAGGCGGAGAAGTAGAAGACGGAACAGGACGCGCACAGCCCTTAAGATTCTCTACGCATGCGCCGCATTCACAAATCTCGCCGCCACTTAGCGCCGTGTGGTCCGCCGGCCGCGAGCTGGCGTGTTCCCTCTAAGAGTGGATCGTGATGCACATAAATAAAAACAAATCATGACACCGATAACCCTACATGTTTATAATATTATTAGTAGTAGTAGTTGCCGTATATAGTAGTAGTAGAGTATAGTAGTAGTAGAATAGTTGTAGTAGTAGTAGTAATAGTAGTAAAAGTAGTATTTATTTATATTTATTTATGCTTATACCTACAGCACCCTCTGGGGGCATTGTTGTAGGGTGGTTTACAAATTCAAAGTACATTTAAATCAGTGGGGACAAGTTGAATTGCACTGCACACGCAAAATTAAAACAAATCAAAAATACCTAAATCCCGGCATACAATATCATTGTGTGACCACGTACTCCTTTAAAAGGGAAGTAGTAGAAGAAGTTCCAAAGTGAAGTCAGCGTTATTCGCGTGATATCCAAATTTCTGGGAGAATCTAGTTATACAGCTCGAAACAGCGAAGTGCACGCATGTCTGGCGAGACCTGCCCATGCACCGTTAGCAAAAATAGCTCAGCAGGTACAAAAGAGCCAAAGTCCCGGCGTTACCTATCTGTATGCTATCAGGCGATGTGCGATCGCACATGTGGCTAGACCTAATCGGATAGCACAACGCCTGTTTGATGTGGCCGCGAGAGTTGGCCGCTCGTGTGGATAACGCGATACTGAACTGCTGCACATCGGCGCTGAGATAGCCGCCAAACTGCGACGAGTATCGAGAAAGAAAGCGCGCAGTCTGAGTCAGAGTTTTAGATACGACTTCTTCAGAAAACGTTCAATTGCTCACCAATAACAGCAACCTACACGTTGATGGAACGTGTTGATTGATTGATCGATTGATTGATTGATTGATTGATTGATTGATTGATTGATTGATTGATTGATTGATTGATTGATTGATTGATTGATGTGTGGGGTTTAACGTCCATGATTATGAGAGACGCCGTAGTGTAGGTCTCCGGAAATTTTGACCACCTGGGGTTCTTTAACGTGCACCCAAATATGAGCACAAGGGCCTATACAACATTTCCGCCTCCATCTGAAATGCAGCCGCCGCAGACGGGATTCGATCCCGCGACCTGCGGGTCGGCAGCCGAGTACCTTAGCCATTATAGATTACCGCGGCGGGGCTAGAACGTGTTCCGGGCTGCCTGTTGAGTCAGCGGGAACATTCAGCTTGCGCTTGTCTTGTGCGCCTTAACACTTTCAAAGACTACTTATGGAAAACTTGTGAATGTGTCAAATCGATGCAATGTTATTTCAATGCACTCGATAGTACTTTGCAACAGAAATAATGTCGGCAATGCCTTAGTTTATGCGTGTGTTTGGATGGCGCGCTCCCAGGTTTGCACGCCATGAAACGCGAGGCTCGAGCATGCGCAGTGGGAGTGTGGATGGCGCCACCGCCGACGCCGAAGCGTGACATCGGGCGACTAAGAAATGCTCCGCATTTAAGAGTGATTAACAATTTAGAGAACTCGGTACTCTACTATGATATAGCATAAAGCCACCCCGTAGGCCTCACAGCGTTGACCAACTCTCAAATCTACTAGAGGCGTTGTGGTTGTACGTGATTAGAAAATACAGGTAACAATTTAGAGTACTTGGTACAGCGGTAAAACAGGTAGCTGGGCGGGTTGGTGTGTATCCGTGATATAACTTTTTCAGCGCGCACAAAAAACTTCATTGTTAAATTAAATAATGTATTCTTGTTTACTTGCAATCTTGTTTTTTTTTTTTCGGCACAATGAATCACTATGGTGCTCATTAGTGTACACTCATGATCTTCTTGTACATGTATTTATTTGTTTTCCTGATGCTGCTAGCAATTGTTACCAACTGTATGCTTTGAATTTTTCTTTGCTTCCCCCCCCCCCCCACTGTAATGTCAAGTGGCGCTGTGGGTATGGCAAAAATAAATAGATAAATAAGTAGTACAAGTACAAGAAACAGTAGCGCTCGTCTGTCTCTTTTTTCGTACTGATTTTTTTTCTTGTGCGCGCTGAAAAAGTTATATCATGCATACTTGGTATTCTACTATGGAAGAACAAATGAATCCGTCCAGCGGCCCCCATACAAGTCTCGCCCCTGTAAAAAGGATGCACAACAGCTCAACGAAGGAACGAGATTCAGTCTGCTGGTTGCTTCTGGCCACCAACGGGGAACTAGGATCCGACGAGGCTCAGAAACGGAAATAGGATATTATTGTAACAAACGACGTGAATTGAACTCGTCATTCATTTGTAAGTGATCGTGAAAACATAGCCTTTAATTCAAAATGAGTGATCGCTATTTTTAGAGCTAAATGTGGGGCTGCCAAACATCTTGCATCGCATTTGAATTTCACATACCAACGACGGCCATCGGCATGTCCTTCACTCCGAGGACACTGCAAAGTCTCGTTCTCCGACGCCATCACATGTTTGCTGAGAGTGTAAGGGGGAGTGGCCACAGCGTTAGGCCGCGTTCACACTGAGCATTCCGGCCGCCGAAAGTGCTCCGAATCCGGTTCGGCGGCGGCGAGATCCGCCGAAAGGGCCCTTTCCGCGCCGATCGCTCTCGGACCGATTTTTGCGGCGTCTGCCGCCGAATCGGTCACTGCGGACCAATAGGAGCGCTAGTCAAGCAATTTTGAAAAATGGCGGCAAAGCCCTACTCACTTGTTATGCTGCAGTGCACGTAACTGAATGTTGAAACCAACGGGAGTTTAACCTACTCTGTGCCTACTTCGCCTCCGTATTTCGTGAAAGAGGTGACCGAGCTTGCTGTTGGCGTGACCGAGCTTGTTGCGGTCTTGCAAAGCAAAACGAACCCACCAACGCCGTTGGCGTCGGTGGTTTTTCTGCTCTTCGTGCATTACAAGACAGCCACTTGCCAGCAAAGTAAGCAGTACTGTCTTTTCTTGCTTCTTGCGTACGAGAATCGTCGAAGTATGCACCACTGGATAGCGTAGTAGCGTTTGCGAGCCGCGACAACAACCGGGTGACAGCGCGTCCATCCCGCGTTCGCCCCGTAGTAGATGACATATTCGGCGGCGCGGGGCGCGTCCAGTGCGAACGACGCTGTGTTTCGGCGGCAGGGGAATTTCGGTCGCTGTAGAAAGCGGATGTTTCAGTGTGAACTAGGCTTTAAGCTTACACAGCCCCTTAAGGCCTGACCCCACGTATCCATCGCAGCCAAGGAGGACTAATGAAAAATTGCTAGAGTGGAAGCTCCCGCAACGCCTTGCCAGCAGAAGTGAAGCCACCTTTTGCCACTGCCAAGATGGC